AAGGGTTCCTTTCAGGGATCTATGGGGTTCCTTTAATGGGGGTGCCCTTTAAGGGATCTATTTTGGCTTCTTTGAAGGGGGGTCCTTTAAGGGATCTATAGGGTTCCTTTAAGGGGGTTAGGTGTTGCACGGGTTCCTAGAAAGGTGGCGTTCCTAGAAAGGTTCCTGACCCAGCTTGGAGAGTGTATCGAGTGCGGCGGATGTTGGCTACTGCGAAAGTGCAGTCTGGTTTGGTCTTAACGGGGTCGTCCATCGCTTGCACCCAGAGCCTGGCAACCCAAATCCAAGCCGTGGTGGACATGTCACCAGGGCCTAAGGTGTAGAATTTAGGGTTTAGGGTTTCGGGTTTAGGGTTTCGGGTTTAGGGCTTTTTGGGTTTTCGGGTTTTAGGGTTTCGGGAACCAGCAAGAGCAACGAACAGACACCCGAAGTCTCAGCCCGCGGCGGACATGGCATGGGTCAAGTTTGGAGTTGCCAGACAAACAGCTGCTGCAGCACGGGGAAACATGGGATACGCTTCGGTTTTTTGTTTTTGGTTTAGGGTAGCTATGATGAGGCTTTAGTGACCCTTAAAGCCTCTCAAGCGAGGTTCAAGATTGAGGGTCCCCTAAACCCTAATCACCCTAATAACCCTAAAGCCTAAACCCTAGACCCTAATAACCCTAATAACCCCTAATAACCCTAATAACCCTAATGACCCTAATAACCCTAATAACCCTAATAACCCTACTAACCCTACTAACCCTACTAACCCTACTAACCCTACTAACCCTAAACTCGGGGAGCAAGTGTTCTCGCATGTCGAGCCTACGCTCATCATGCGGAGGCTCTACTAGAAAGCCGCCTCTTGACGTTTCCTTTTTAAGAGTTTAGGGTTTGGGGTTTAGGGTTTAGGGTTTAGGGTTTAGGGTTCAGGGTTTAGGGTTTGGGGTTTAGGGGGGGAGGGTTTAAGGCTGAGGGGTCGGGAACTTTCGGCTCTACCCCTAAACCCCTAAAAGCCCGAAACCCTATTTGGAGGTTCATGGGTAGTTATAAGTGGGGTTATAAGTCGGGTAACTGTAATTATAACCCATATCGGGGGACTTATAACCCAATTTACAACTACCCATGAACCTCCAAGTAAACCCTTACTACGCCTAGCCACGTTTTTATTTCCCATCATTTAACTCTTGTTGTGGCCTCTGCAGTTCACACATAACGTGGACCCCGGGGACCCCTCACGGTTCCGTAGGAAGTTCGGGTTCCTGCAAGGGTTACTTCAAGGCTTACTATAAGGGTTTCTGTAAGAGTACTTAACTGAAGACTAATGTAGAGAACTGAGGAAAAACTTCTTTCATGGTCCCCCTATCTCCGACGACTCCTCGGTGCTGTTTTGTGCGTTGCCCTTCTGTTTAGTCTGAGACGTCTATCAGAGGTTGCTGGCCATCACAGTTTGAAATCGGCGCAGCCATTGCGGCAACCTCTTACAACTTCAAGCTCTTAGGAGCCAAGAACTTATCCACGAGTCGTACTTCTTGACGCTCTTCTTACAAATCTGTACAAGTTGACAAAAATGCTCCATCGCAGTATATAATATATACAAATTCTACAATGACAAAACATCTTTGCAGGCAGCCTCTGGCGGCCTGCAAAGCCATCAAGTCTGCAACGGTTTACAGCG